GCACAGATTCGTCGCTTGGCGGAACAAGAACTACCCGAAGAGGACGATGGCGATAAGGCTGGCGACCTCCAGCCAGATACCAATGCCAATGCATCCGACGCGCTGCCATCCTTGCGGTACATGAGCACAAGACGGATGGGACCCGGCGGTCGGAGGGGTCCTTCATATACGAGAGCCGGACAGGCCGGCGGTGGTGGCGCCATGATGGGCGATGGGGGCCCGGATGCCTATGACGACCTGGACAAGTGCCTTGAATACGTGCAAAATCAGTGCGAGCACGCGGCACACCAGTTCCTGCGTGACGGAGAGTGTTCTGAAGAGGTTGGCAACATTCAACGTCGGTTGGCGGAGACAAAGGAGCTGGCCCTGAAGGAGATGGAGCGAGTCCAGAAAGAAGAGCCCGAGCTGCTGAAGGCGGCCAGCGAGGCGAACAAGGTGCGGACTCTTCGACCAACGAGCATGCGGCGGGAGCTCACGGCCGCCAAGGACAGCAACCCACCCATCACACCCAGGAAGCTTGAGGTGGATGCAAAGATCGAGGCCGATACCAAGACTCCAGTCTCCAAGACGATTGAGGTGGACATGTCGAAGCCTCTCGAGGCAGATGATGCCCCTATCGAGGCCGACAACGACGAGGGTATTGACGACATGGAAATTACTCTGCCGCCTCGGTTGAACTATCGATCTACGAGGGCGATGCGTGGCTAGACGCCACCACTAAATTTTGCAACCCATTTACAAAGGCATATTTTTTTTTTCTTATTTTCTTTTTCTTATTTTAATGAATGAAACGGCCTCACCTGGGGATGAGAGAGAGGAGCATGGATCGGGACCGAAGAAAATCAAAACCGGGGGCCGGGGGTGGTTGGTGGGTGGGTAGGCATGTGGACAGGAGAGGGTCAAAAGCTTTGCCGCCGATGATATCAAAAAAACAACATGCATAGCATAGCGTCTGCTTCTTCACCATCGCTCGAATTGCATAGGAGGTCGCTTGCGTCGTATATATTTGCACTGAGGAAGGTGTGTTTTGGAAAGAAAGAGAGACAGAGAGAAGGCGAGAATTGGGCTTACTGTGAAGTACAAGGCGAGGGATCTGTATTTTTTTACTGTCTTTAATAGTTCGAAGAAGTGGGCGCGGGGCGCGAGTCACTCGTCTCGAGTACAGCAGCAGCAGCAGCAGAGGCTGGCTTGCTCAGAAGCAAGGTGTCTAGTTGACCTGCTGAGTCAATTGAAAGATGTCTTGCATCATCATTGTCTCTGCCTATCGCGCATGTGCTCTCTATGCAAGTTTAATGCTGCTTCGTCGTTTATACGTGATAAGGACTCCCAATCTCCCCCCCCCCCCCCGCCCCCCCCAATCTCCCCATTCTCCCGTCCCTTCTCGAGATGATTCTACCCCATGGTATAGTAGGTAATTGAGGCGGACGGAGACCTCTCATTCACATGACTGGAGCCAAGTCTTGATGACATTTTCCTTCTCAACATACTATGTTTCTTGCCTCAAAGTTTTCCTCGTGGCGGCCACGAGGATTCCGGCGCCTTTGATCCCGCCGTCATGGCAGGGACTCAGAACAATCCTCACCGGTAAAGGCGACTGTGATTCTAACCCACCCGCGCAGTATTCTAGCTTCACGATCTTGTCTAAAAAGTCTTGCGTGTCGGCGAGGTAATCTTGGAAATGGGAGATGCAGCCACCCGTGTAGCCGACACCCAGCTCCATGCTAGGAGGGATGCCTTGCTTCTGCTGGTGGTGGTGGTGGTTTTCGTGTTGGTGGTTTTCGTGTAGATGGTGATGGTGGTGGCCCTTTGGGACCGGAGGTGGTATGTCTTCTGCGAATTTCAAGAGGGCGAAGGTGGCGGCTGCGACGATACCTGCCGCACGGATCTCGATTGCTTTCGCGATGTGGTAGAGGGCTGCTGCGATTGTTGGTGTCCATTGGAAGGGGGGTGATGGACCCGTTCCTGCTTCTACTTCTCCTACTGGGAACTGCTTTTCCAGCTTGGACTGCAGAGGGGATGGGTCGGAAGGATTGTCGTCGGCAGGTTTAAAGTGACTCAGGAATGTCGTCGTCAGCGCGTACCTCGTGAGTAAGCCTTCTGGCAATGAGGATTCGTCGAAGCCAAGAACGGTACGCAGGTAGTCGACCAGAACGAGACGGCCCAGCTCGCCGAGATAGCGGCCGGCCGTCATGTACTCCAGGGGCTGGAAGCCAGCAATTTCGCCTGGTCCGACGAGGGCTTCGTCAAGGGCTGTGTCCCATGCTGTGATGAAGCCTAGTTCGCGTAGGGGTGGAGCCGTACCGCGGATGCTCCATTCCGTGTTCACAGCGATGCGGATGTGGCCGGCAGGTTCGCCGGGGAGGGTACTCACAGCTTCGGGCCATTTTCCAGGGCCGAGGGCGGTGAGAGGGAGTGAAATGGTGGCGTTACAACCTGTGCCGACGATGAGGCCCATGCTTGCCTTTTTGATAATGAGGGACGGTGACTCGGATTCGGACTTTGACTTTGAGTTAGGCTTAGACTTGAACTCGTCAAAGAGATAGATGAAGGTAATTAGTGTTGAAACGGAGTCGTTTGATATGGCGGCGGCATGAATGGGGGGCAGAGGGCTGCTGTGGATTCCGTTGGATTGGGCATTCCGAGCTTTGTCGTAGCCGCTGATGAGCAAAGGACCTAGCATTGCGTAGCCTTTGATACTGAAACCTTTGCCCATTGTCATGATGTGTGCGTCGGCGATAGAACGCTGGATCATGGGGAAGCTGAAAGTAATGCCCATTGGAATGGACTCATCATCGTCTGGCAGCAGGGACTCTTTGCGAGCATTGCGGACGACGGATGCGATGCGGGCGCCAATCCAGTCGAAAAGAAGCTGGGGATCTCCTTTGGCATCTGCTTTGACGCGATCGTCAATGGGCCATGCTTCCTCTTTGAGTTTGAGGGTTGATGAGGATGAGGTTCCATTGGGCTTGGGCGAGGATGAGGTTGTCTTGTTGGCGTTTGTGGCGTATTTGCGCCCGAGCTCGACCAGGCCTACCCTCAGATTCGTTCCGCCGCTGACGATGAGGTTAGTGATCTGATCAATTGTTCAGAAAGGACCTACAGCATGGCGAGATGCGCATGGAAGGAGAGGGTTGGAAGAGACTGGTGGGGGAGGGGCTCAGGCGACATACATGTCAATGGCCAGGTGCCTATAATGCGTCGTTAGCTTTAGTATCAAACATGGCAAGCGACACCCCGATTCCATCGCCACTTTCCACTGCCCTTGCTATCGGATGACTCGAACGGGTACTTTATAAGAGATGAGTTGACATCTCAGGAAGCTATGTCGAGTCGAGAAACAATCAAGGAGGTAAAAGGAGGGAACCATCATACCTTCCACGACCTTCCTGGCTGACATTTCGTAAGATGGACTCTGAGATGGGCGTGGAGAGGAACTGATCTTGGGCGTGAAGAGCGAGGTCTTTGAAATTGGACAAGAAAAGGCCGGACAGTGTATGAATCTTGTGGGCGTCGACCTGGAGGGGCTGCAGGAAGTGCTGCAGGGCAGAACCGGGATCCATGTTCGTTTGTGCTCAGGCGCGGGGGTGTTGATGTGTGAGGCGTGAGGCGTGAGGCGACAAGGCGATGAGGCTGTTTCCTACGTTTCTGCGTCTGTATAATGATCTGTAGGTTTGTCTACTGTGTATGTCACTCTGCTACCCTTGCGTTGCTTCGCCGGATCCAAGGCCGGTTGTTTTGTTGGACGGGTGTTCGTTTACAGATTGGGTATGCTCGCTCAGATGGTTGAAACAAAGCTCTACGGGTAAAGACTCGAAATTGGCCTGGTTGTCGGGAATAAAGAAATCTAAGAGTTGAATCTGACGTTTGAAGTTGCGCAATGTGTGGAAAAGGAGATGGGACTTGGAAGAATGACAATATGGAGCATCGAGTATGGAGCAGGGCACGTTACACTCAGCTGAGATGCGCCTGCTCCATCGTCCACACCTGATGTCCTTGCTGTTCGTAGCTCAGCCCAGAACAGGAAGGGGAGCTCCTCTCCTCAGTGTGGAAAGCAAGAGCGGGTCACCAAGTCGCTTCCAGGTTCCTCCAGATACACTTAACTTGAAGCTGCAGCACTGGTATTTCATACTCTAAGGTAATCATACTTGCTCGATAGGTATATTTTATGAATTCAAAAACTCTCACTTTAGCCCCTATCCATATTACCTGACACAAGAAGTTTTCCTGTCCAGTCGACACAAATAAGGTCTGACGAGGTCAGATGGCTGTACAGTCGGGGACAAGAAGTACCTCGCACTGTTACATCAGCACCAATGGACCCTCCCGCACCTGCCCGATGAATGCAACAGCTGATAAGATAAGGCAGTGAGGAGCTGACGGGACGGGAGGTTCGCCAGGAACAGGAAGCCCCCCCGCTGTTGCCCGTTGATGCTTATGGCGTGCCGCCGGACGCGGAGCTTCCAAGGTGGAATTAAAAGGGTACTTGAGTTCATCCCCGAAACCTGCTGCCAACTCATGTACTTCGATAATCCCAGAATGCCTTACCTCATTCAGCTAGCGTCGACGTTCCTCCAACGTCCGCTCTGTCGACGTTGCTCAGGTTCCCTCTGTACCTACGGATACCAGACTCCCATTGGCTCAAGAGTGCATTGTGCATTGCGCGCATCCTGCGTCTCTGTCGCAATCTCACAGACACAGACACACACACACATACCAGTGCCAGTGCACCACCACCACCACCACCACCACCCCTCGCGACGTGATCCCGTCATTACTAAACTTTGCTTCGGGGGGAACCTCACAATCGCCCTGCAGCTCCTCCTCTCCAAATGGGGGCGCATCGAGGCTGTTCAGAACACCGCTCCGTCTATCGTCAACAGCGCCAAGCAGAAGCTCGACCCCAATCTACGACTATCGATCCGACGACTACGACTACGTCTGCTCCCGCATTCAAAACTCTTTCTTCGCACCGACACCCCGAGCCCAGATACCCCGTTGTCATGGACGAAAAGCGAGACTACTACGGATACCGCACATCGACACCTCCTCCCTACCCGGCCATGTCTGCACGGATGACCCGGAGAAAGGGCATCTTGCCCGCCCTTGCTATGGCTGTCTTGTTTGCCTACTCTCTGTGGAATTACCTGCGTCACCCTTTGAACAGCAGCAGCAGCAACAGCAGCACTTCTCGCATCGTGCCCCAGGAGCCGCCGGTCGAGGTTGCCAAGAGCCTGGTGCCTTTGGAGGCACACATTATGAGCAAGTGTCCGGATGCGAGGGTACGCAACAATCCATGTCGGTATAGGATAGTTATGATTGAGAAGAGGATGCTGATACTATCCATGTTCAGGACTGCTTGAGAGATCTGGTTCTGCCTACCATGGTCAAGTCACTGGACAAGGTCAACTTTACCCTGTCATATATCGGCACGTAAGTAACCAATCTTATTCGGAGCTCTCCGGTGCTCGACCAGACTATGACTGACGATACCACTATCCAGACCGACCGAAAATGACGGCGTAGACTGCAAGCACGGCCCTGCCGAGTGTACGTTTGCTCCAACATACATTGCACTCGATGCTGCATGCGAATGCTAACACCGTTGACAGGCATGGGTAACATTATTGAGCTTTGTGCCATCCACCTCTATCCCGATCCCAAGATCAACCTCGGCTTCACCATGTGTCTCACCCGCGAATATAGCGCGATCCCCGACCGCACTCTGGTCGAGGACTGCGCTCTGGAACATGCCATTGACATCAAGGCCCTCGATGACTGCGCTACCCAGGATGACGGAGGCTTCGGCGTTGGTATGCTGCGCGACAGCGTCCGCCGGAGTAAGGATGTCAGTCTAACCCACATTTCCCTCCGATCTGGTCTATATCTAATCCACTGTCTAGGCCGGCGTCACCAAGAGCTGCACCGTCAGACTCAACGAGGAGATTTACTGCATCCGGGACGGCGGCGAGTGGAAGGACTGCCCGCACGGTGCCAGCCCCAACGATCTTGTCATCGCTATTGAGAAGCTGTACCGTTCTGCTTAGAGTTCTTGAGGGGCCCGTACACCTCTGTCCATAGCTCGCTGGCTTCGCCCAGTGTGTAACTTAGTGCAATACCTTCCATACCCGCCTCCTCGTCTCCCTTCATGATCACGAGCGTCTCCACAATGCTGTCGAGACCGACCGCCTTGCCGACCGCCTGCGTCGCGCCTGCCTCCAGCTGCACGTGCACAATGTGAATGTGGAAGTGGTAGTACGTCGGCTGGTAGTGGACGTAGAGCTTGAGCTGGTCGATTTCGATATCGGGGTACTGCTTCACCGTCGCAGCCAGTAGCTTGGCCTTCATGTGCTGCAGCCAGGGGATGTGCCTCTTGCGGAGGTCGCGCAGGGACCAGATATCGCGGCGCTCGACGAGAGCCAACAGGTGCAGGCCCTCGATCGTCTTGCGGTCCCAGTTGAGGTCCGGGATGAGCAAGAACCCCTCGTCGCCCTGGGTGCCGAGCTCGGTGCGGTAGATTACGTCTTCGACTTCGGTGCGGCCCTCGATGATGTTGAAGACCCAGTCTAGCCGGCCGTCGCCGCGCTTGCGTTGCATGTAAGGGCGGATGTGGGAGGCGTAGAGCTCTGGTGTCTCTGTGACGAAGCGGACGCCTTGTTTGCTGTATTTCTTGATGTGGGTGGCGGTGCAGGGGTAGATAAGGTTTATCTTGAGGTCGGCGAGGGAGGTGTCGGAAGAGGAAGGGGAGGTGCCGCTGTTGGCGAGGTACCAGTGGTAGATATCGTTTGCGCCTAGGTTCGTAATGGAGGAGAGGGTTGTTGGGGTTGCGGCTAGGTAGGAGGGGTCGGTTGGGAAGGGGGCGCGTTCGAGGATCAGGAGGGCTGGGTTGGAGTCGATAGTTCCTAGGAGGGAGGTGCGGCGGCCTGCTTGGTCTGGTGAGGGTATCGTCAGGGCTGATTCCGTGGGTTGGTGGTGGTGTAGCTAGACTGTACCTTGGTTGAGGACGCGATCAAGCTTGAATTTTGGGATGAGGGCCTCGGCCTTTGCCTTGGCGTCTGCCATGGTGTCGAATTGTATTGTGACCGGGAGATTGAAGACTTGTAGAATGTGGGCGGAGTCTTAGAGATTGGATTGTACCTTATCGTAAGGTGAGGGAGTTTACGCAGCCGGCTGGACGGGATGGGAGTTGACGATGGAAAAAACCTGGCGGGATCGGCGCCCGGGTTGATGTGACCGAGTGGCAGGAGTACACCGCACCACCTTCCTAACCCCGCCACGGATTACCCCGCGGTGGGGCACCAGTTCCTGCCATTGCCGCCGATGCTCGTCGTCCGCCGTACCTGCCTCGAGTGTCGAGAATTCGGGAGCAAGGTGCAGAATATCCGTACCCTGATGGCTTTGGTGATGTCGACTCAAATCTTTCCAGTCATCCCATCATCCCATGATCACTTCATCCTTTCGATATACTAAGTTTGCTACATTCAGCCTCTTGATTGGCATTCTATCAACCAACGACTTACACATATCCGTACAAGCTATGAAAATCATACTGCCTGACTTAAACTGGGAGAATGCATCGATTCATGGTGCGTGACGTTTCGTTCTCTTGCTCCAGATACTCAATTACCATCTGAGATGTTAGTATCAAAGCTTACGTGTAAATCCACCAGGCGCCGCTGCCTGCTCAACCCCGGAATCGAAGATCGAAGCACGGCCCGTCCTAAGCCGCTCCGGAGCTCAAGTCTATCCGACTCCTCTCCCAAGTCCCGGTCCCGGGCCTAATTTCAACACAGCCGTGGACAGTGGTGGAGACAACACATCGATTTCAATTATCAGGCGGAGACATTCGAGGACTTTAGGATACCATTTTGCACTGATCACGGAGTATTCCGCTCGATGAACACGAACAAATTGCGACCGAGAGAGGAGAGCAGGGCAAGCCACATCTCCGCGGTTTCGGGGTTTTCGCCTCGGGAAATTCGCACCTTGTTCTCGCCGGCGGCGGCGCAGCGCGAAGAAACAGCACAAACCGCTCGCTGGCTTGTCAACCTCCCACACTATTGAAGATACACTGCTTGGCGGTTTGGCGCTGTGTAACCCGGCAATATTCGCGCAACGAGCGACATTATTGCGTTCACCGATGGTAGTGATGATGCATCGAATTATCTCCACAGCGGGAGCAGTACCGCAGCACTGAGACTACCGATACCTGCAAGAACAGAGTTTCAGGGCCGAAAGACCAGAGTCATTAGCGGAGTAATCCACTTCAGCGCGGGCCTGTCCGCCGCCAATCGCTGCATCATGAGAGTCTATCGACCGGAGGGTCGGCGTTGCAAACCCGCCGAACTCTATTCGCCCGCTCCGGTTGCAACTCCCGGGCCTCTGGTTCACGACTCAAACACTTTGGCTCCCAGGTCGAGGCATTGTCGATTAAACGACAAGTCTCCTCACTCAATATGCATCGGCTTCGGGGGATAGTTCAAAAGTGCGTCGCGGCTTGGAAAGGCGCCCGAGAGTAATAACAAGCACCCCCGCAAGAGTTGAATGATACCACAGGCAGGCAGCACAATGCGAGCGAGAGACATTATTGCGGCGGCCAAATATGTTGTCTCACAACTTAGCCACAGGGTGTACTCATATGTCAACCACTTCCCAGGCGCCATCAGCCCTAGTGTAGCTGGGAGACACTGAGCGCCTCACAAAGAAGCTAGGCCTGTCGTCTCAGCGTTTTTGTCTCTGTTAAGTCCTTGCTACAGTCGCTGCCTATAAGGGTAGGTAGCTATGCGCTCTGGGCCGTAGAAGTGCGTCCCAGCCAACAGTTTCATGTAGGATGGGCATTTTCAACCAAGCGCTGCAGGCAAAGATCCTTCGTTTCGTGCCGCTATCCGTACCAACTAATGTACTCCAAAACTGGGGCAAAATACACCGAATAGCATCGATAGCTGGCCAAAGATTGAGTGGCTCTAAGTACGAATACTTTGGTTGGACTCGTCCTCTAAAGTTACGAGTATATCGCGCACTTCTGTCCAACACCCCTGGCACTGTATCCGGACCAACATACATGTCGACCCGCCCAACCGCCTCCCATCGTAATCCTCCTCTTGAAAGCCAGCTTTTGATCATCTTTTTGTCCACTTCATTCTCTCGTACCCCCTGCTCCCCCTTGCTGCTAGCGTTCCCACATGCCCAGCGTCCTGGGTTGAAAAGAAGGCGCCGCGATACTACTAAAAGTCGAAAGGCCGTCGGCCATTAGCTTCTGAGATCATCACTAGGGATCATTAGAGAAGGTGGGAATTCACCGAGCTGTTCCACAGTTCCACTCACCTGTCTACCTCTCCACCCTGCGACAACCCCGGGACATTATTCTACCTTTGACACGGAATCGTACTAGACTTGACTTGAGTCTTGGACATCCTGTCAAAGTACAAATTGAACGCTATCCCCTCGTTCTCGTCCCACCTACCCAGAGTCATCATCATACGATGTCAACCACTGTCAACATGGCGGCCAAAGAGGAGGTCCCAATCCCCGAACCACGAGGTCTTCCCTTCTTGGGACACATTGCCGAGTTCAATCCCGAGAACCCATTGAACGACCTACATCGTCTGGCTGATACATATGGTAAGCCCATCGACTTTTAAATCGTGTCTACATTACCCCGAGTTAAATTTGCTGAAACCATTCTCCCAGGCGAGGTCTACCGGCTACGCATGCCAGGGATGACTGTGGTCTTCGTTTCCACAAACGCCCTCGTCAACGAAGTGTGCGATGAGACTCGCTTCCAAAAGTCCTTGAACAATGTCCTTCGCGTAAGATAGCTCAAGAGTCTCTCAGACGTCAAGCATGGCTAATCATTCTCACAGGAGGTCAGACACATCGCCAACGATGGCCTCTTCACCGTAAGAAGCCCCTTTGCACCTACAGGAATATTCTAGCTAACAAATTTCCAGGCCAAACCAGAGGAACCCAATTGGGGCATCGCACACAGAATCCTTATCCCGGCCTTCGGCCCCGTCACCATCCGCGGCATGTTTGACGAGATGGCTGACGTCGCCTCACAAATGGCCATGAAATGGGCTCGCCACGGAAGCCAGACCCCGATTCGCGTCACCGACGACTTCACTCGGCTGACCCTCGACACCATTGCCCTCTGCTCAATGGACTTCCGCTTCAACTCGTACTACCGCGAGGAACTCCACCCTTTCATCAATGCCATGGGCGACGCTCTCACAGAATGCGGCAATAGGGACAAGAGACCAGCCTTTGCCAACTACTTTTTCCGGAGCACGGAGCAAAAGTTCTTTGCTGACATTGAGCTGTTGCGCAAAACTGCCAGAGAAGTTCTTGAATCACGCAAGGCAAACCCATCGGACAGGAAGGACCTGTTGTCTGCAATGCTGAACGGCGTGGACCCCAAGACGGGCCAGAAGATGACCGATGCCAGCATCATTGATAACCTGATTACGTTCCTTATTGCCGGCCATGAGACAACCTCCGGTATGCTGTCTTTTGCATTCTTCGAGCTTCTGCGCCAGCCAGCGGCCTACCGAAAGGCCCAGCAGGAAGTTGACGATGTCATTGGGCAAGCTCCCATCACGATAGACCACCTTTCAAAGCTGCCTTATCTGAATGCCGTAAGTCTCGTCAGCTCTACAGACGAGGGTTGAAGAACAATCGCACTGATATTCAGACGTTCTAGGTCCTCCGCGAGACTCTTCGCCTTTGCGCCACGATTCCAGCTTTCGCCGTTGAAGCTAAAGAAGACACCCTCATCGGCGGCAAATACCCAGTGAAGAAGGGCGAATCCATTGCCTGCCTGCTCGGAAAATCCCAACTTGACCCCATCGTCTACGGCGACGATGCCGGCGAATTCAAGCCCGAGAGAATGCTAGACGAAAACTTTGAGCGAACCCAGAAGGAATTCCCGAATTCGTGGAAACCCTTTGGCAACGGTATGCGCGCTTGTATCGGCCGGCCATTCGCCTGGCAAGAGGCTCTGCTCGCCACAGCCATGCTACTGCAAAACTTCAACTTTACCATGGACGACCCGAACTATCAGCTCAAGATTTCCGAGTCTCTCACGATCAAACCCAAAGACTTCTATATGCGCGCAACGCTGCGACACGGCATGAGTCCCACAGAGCTGGAGCACAAGCTCGCGGGCAGGGGACCGAATAAGACCAAGCTGGCTCATCGGCCTTCGCCGTCAGCTCAGGCGAACGGTGTACAAACCAACGGGAACAAGACCAATGGGCGTAGCGGAAAACCCATTAGCATCTACTACGGCTCCAATAGTGGTACCTGCGAGGCCCTCGCCCAACGTCTTGCCACCGACGCGAGTTCCCACGGATTCGACGCCACGGTCGTCGAGCCTCTTGATACCGCCCGAGAAAACCTCGTTAAAAACCAGCCCGTGGTCATCATCACTGCTTCATACGAGGGCCAGCCACCAGATAACGCAGCCCATTTTGTCGCCTGGCTCGAGAGTCTGAAGGGCCAGGAGCTGCAAGATGTCCCGTATGCCGTCTTTGGCTGTGGTCACCATGACTGGGTACAAACCTTCCACCGCATCCCAAATTTGGTTGATACCACCATGGAGGAGCATGGAGGCAGCAGACTCGTTCCCATGGGTCTTACAGACGCTGCCGAACGAGACATGTTTTCCGACTTTGAAGTCTGGGAAGACGAGATCCTGTGGCCGGCTCTTGCTGAGAAGTACGAAGTGGACGAGGCACAAGACGGCAGTGGCTTACAATCCGGTCTCGCTGTGCAGATCTCCAATCCGCGCACGTCTGCGTTGCGATCTGACGTCCAGGAGGCCGTCATCTTGGAGGAAAAGATGCTGACTTCGCCTGGTGAACCAGAGAAGAGACACATGGATATCCAGCTCCCGTCAAACATGACGTACAGATCAGGAGACTATCTCGCGGTGTTGCCCCTAAACCCACGCAGCAATGTCGAGAGAGTGTTTAGGAGGTTCCAGCTGGCGTGGGATGCGTGCCTGACCATCTCTGGCGATAAGAGGACTGCCCTGCCAGTCAACCAAACGATCTCTGCCCTGGATCTTCTCAGCGCGTACGTGGAGCTTGCGCAACCGGCGACGAAGCGGAATATTCTGTCCCTGATGGAAGCGACCCAAGATGATGACACCATCAAGAAGCTAGAGCAGCTCGCCGGCGACGATTATCAGGAAGAAATCACCCAGAAGCGGGTCACTGTCCTGGATCTCCTGGAGAGATTCCCGTCCATCGCGCTTCCCATTGGTGCCTTTCTCGCCATGCTCTCTCCCATGCGCGTTCGGCAATAGTAAGTTCCTCTCTACTTCTGTCTTCCGAAACACTTGTCAGCTAACTTTATGTTCCCTTTAGCTCAATCTCATCCTCTCCCCTCCGCAACCCCTCTCAAGCAACTCTAACCTACTCCATCCTCGACTCGCCCTCTTTCTCGGGCCAAGGCCGCCACGTCGGCGTAGCAACAAGTTACCTCGCCGCCCTCAAGAAGGGCGACAAGCTGCACGTCGCCGTCCGGCCCTCACACGCCGCATTCCACCTGCCCCGCGACCCGGAAAATACCCCGCTAATCCTCGTCGCCGCTGGATCCGGCATCGCGCCCTTCCGTGGTTTCGTACAAGAGCGCGCGGCGATGTTGGCTGCGGGACGTACGCTTGCGCCTGCCTTGCTATTCTACGGATGCCGGAGACCGGGCGCGGATGATTTGTATCGCCGGGAGTTTGATGCCTGGGAGAAGATGGGTGCTGTTTCTGTTAGGAGGGCGTATTCTCGCGCTGCTGCTCAAGGGGAAGGGGAAGGGGAAGGGGAGAATGGAGGGTGTCGGTATGTGCAGGACAGGATGTACCGCGATAAGAAGGACGTGTCGGAACTGTGGGCTCGCGGGGCCAAGTTGTTTGTGTGCGGGTCGAGGAGCGTGGGGAAGGCGGTTGAGGAGGCTTGTGTGAGGGTGATTCTGGAGTCCGCGAAGGAGGGTAAGGGGGAGGGGCTTGCTGAGTTGAGGGATTTGGATTATGAGGGGGCGAAGAAGTGGTTTGAGGGGATTCGGAATGAGAGGTATGCTACGGATGTCTTTGATTGAAATGGGGTGTTTGCGTTTGACTTTTTGGATTTGAGCTTTGGATTTTGGGTGAAGAAGAAGAAGATACTCCCCCCTCTGCGTATAGAAAGCATGAGCCATTTGTATTCGATGGATTATGAGGTTGAGGCTATCTGGACGGAGATATCTGAAGCCTTGATCCGCTTGGTGAAGTTTGTCTACATGTATTCTGCGCTATGGAGAGCATGTTGACGAACTTGCGGCGAGAAAGCGATATTGGATCATCTATACCCCGTCTTCCTACGAGGTTATCTTCATAGGCGCTCTTGGATCCTCGATTACCAGATGAGACGACCATGAGACCCAGCTCACCTTCTCTAGGGAAACGGTGATGAGATTTCATCTCTGAGGGTGATGAAGAGTAAGTAGCCAAGATACGAACGGGCAGGCAACTACTTAAGTAGCAGTTTTCTCATCGAGCCTCAAAAAAAGTTTGACCAGAGCACGAGGTTTAATCAGATATGCAGATGGGTTCTTTGATGTGCTTCGCATAAGGTAGAGTTCGGCTCAAGATTCTTGCTTTTCACCATACGATGTTCTTGAACTTGACGCTGTCCGGTACCTTGAGAACTCGTTCGGCGCCCCTTCTATGCGAGGGCTTTCCGATTTGGTGTTCGTCATGCCGGTCACACGACAGCATCTCGAAAGAGACTTACCTATCTACTTGAGAAAAACAGCGCTGGGTATCATCACTTCATGCTATGAAGAGCAAGTACTTGAGAGGCCGGACGTTAAGTATGTTGATTCGTGTCGTTATAGAGCATCCAGCCACGCATCAATAGGAGAGGTGTACTCATCCATTCGTGCGAGGCCCTCTCGACTCGACGCTCATCACGGCTGCAATACTGGTGGCATCTCATATTTGCTCGACAGAGACGACACGGTACATCAGGTGATGTCCTCATGATTTCTATCTCGGAAGGTCGGGCCCGATGTAAGAACATCATTCCGAGGTGACCACCTCCCCTCATGCTAGCCTGAACTTTGACCGACGTCAAGGCAAAGACTTTCAGATTTTCGCGAAGCTGACCACCTGACTAACAGTACAGGAGGTGGTCTCAAGCAGTCGATCCCACCCTCCTCGCCGTTATCGCTACCCCGGCGGGTTCGAACCTCAGGTTCCGACCAGACAGACCATGACCAAGATCGTTGCCAATTTTGACTTTGCTTGACTAAGTGCAGTCTCGCTCAGTAACTTGTGTCGTTGGCCCTCGTTGGGTCCCTCCTGGACGCAAGTGTATCCACCATACACGATGTTGGTCAGCCGGGAAGTGAGGCTTGTCAGCCGTACGTCGGTAAAGTGTGTAGTCAGACGTCACACCATACACCGCACATCCACACACACACACACACCTGACTCCCGCGCATATCCCATACGCCTACATAAAGTAGTATACATACACAGCCCTTATCCCCCGCGTTTTTTCGTGTCCACGTACCGATAACGGAGTCGCCGCTGTGCTACGCCGCAATCCGCTCATGCATTTGCAATCCACAGTGTTTTTGCGACATGGGGTTCAGCTATGTAGGGTTTTTGGCTTGATAGTAGCGAAAGGACAACGGAACAAGTCTTCGGGGCTCACGATTTCAAAGAGCGCGGAAATGGGACCCGTCGTTCCGGACCATGCTTACCTTACATACACATCAAGTTCAAAGTCGTCGTCAATATCGTGCCAGCATGAAAGTAGCAATAGACGCCTCCAAATCACTGGCAGCAAAGGCATGCATGATAGAGCCCAACACACTCGCTTCCCGCTGCATTGTCAGCACGAGACTCCAAAAACCAGGCCCGGAAACGCTGTTGTCAAGATGGACAGCTCATCCCGCTCTATGGATACTCTACGGAAAGCTGCAAAAGCTGCAAAAGTCTTCTCGATTCTTTGGTTGGGTTTGAGAAGGTCGTGGGATTGAGGGGCTTGGCGTAAGCAGGCCCGTAGGACGGCAGATCGGCTGGCTCAAAGAGGTTTGGTCTCTTCCTGCACGAGTCTCGGTCGTTCCGGTACAACGCACTTTTGCGCTGTTGCTGATTTGCTTTTTTTTTTTTTTTGCCCATACGTTAAACCCCCTCTCCCCCTGCTAGAGCTTATTATCGTTCCGGTCGTGTTTTGGTGGTAGCGACTTTTTGACTTACCTTACCACACGCATAGTGGGATTGCAACATGGGTCGCGGTTTCGAAGATACCCTGGCTCGCCATGTTGGTCTTGAGATTCTGGGAACTTTGTGGTTGAGGCCAAGAAGGCTTTGCATTGAAATGTTGGATGTGTTACCCGATCCTACTATCTGGGCTGCATTCATATATGTGTGTTTAGCCGCCAGGCGCTTTTGGATCGCTATTGATTGGGATGCTGGAGGGTATGATCTGCCAGGCGAGGTTGGAAGAATATCCTCATCGAGCGACGGGCAGCCGTTGAGATAGGTATCCGTCTTCAATCGATAGTCGCCTTGTAGATCAGTCGCCAAGGTGCCGGGTTCTCAGGGTACACCTAGGCTGGTGTCGCACAAGGACTCTGCGAACGGCGTCGCCAAGATCACGAATGCGTGGCAGGCCAGGCAGGGTCCCTGGAACGCTCTTGTTTTCGCCCAAAAAGTCCCGCTGGTGAAGATCATGAGTGGCTGAGACGTATGAAATGACATCGGCTTATTTCTTTGGAATCAATAACGAGACTCTCTTTCTAACCAATCTTCTTCGGCCGTAAAGTACATGCTCATGACTAACAAGGCAGAAGGGTATCATGAGCCTTCGTCACCCCGACTCATCTATGTCTTTCTGAAACGTCTATTGGTAGTCGCGATGACAACGCTACCTAGATGTTACGAAGAATGAAGGCGTAGCGGGCACCTCACATGATGAAAGCTATGATGCGATTTCGAGATTGGTTCGCAACGGCAGCGTCTTCTCCTGAACTCCTGCATAAGAGACGCTGCACCGCCCGCAGCGGACATCAACGAGTCCTCTCTTTAGGGCTGAGGGTGAATCATCGTGGCACATCGACATCTCCAGAGGCCTCACCGTCGTCATCGACCACCCAAGATCGTGGTAGACTCGCCATCAATCTTTGGCTCAACGCAGGGAGGGTGTGGCGTCCAGACACACCTCCATTGCTGACAGGCGAACCAGTGAAAGGGTCCACGACTGATCCCCAGAGACACACGTCTCCCAGGCAGACACACACTTGCTATGCAAGTTGCATACAATGTTTCTTTCCCCCGGTCCAGTGCTCGCACTTCTCGGACGACGTTGGACAGGCACGTCACTAGGACCTCGGACTAAGTGGGTATGTATGGATTAGGCAGGGCGGGTAAGGCTGGCTGTTGGCTTCTGGACGGGATCCCGGGTGTGTCCCGTGTGCCAGTAACTCGGCTGCGGTGCCCCCCCCCTCTTCACCCCTTGGTGGTACCTTTGCTATCCCCTGGCGTCAGAAGTAGCGCCGGCTGCACCCAATCCAAGGTCTCTGATCGTGCCGCCTTAACGGGCGCTTCTCTTGTTTGGGAATCTGACTCCGAGAAGGCTGATCAAACCCAAAGACGCGAAGGAATGGGGTGGTGGTGGTGGTGGTGGTGGTAGAGTCCTTGTGGTACATGAAGAGGAGGGACAATATTCAACCTTGTTGTAATATGTGTTGGGGGCCATTTCCGGCCCCCAAACTTTCTTCCTTTCTCTTGGAAAGTTCTTGTTATTAGTATGGACTTCACTCATAAAGACGGGAGTTTCGCCCTACTAAAAGCAAAATTTCCAAGATTCGCAAACCTCTTCTTCTCTACTCTCGAAAGTAGGAACAAAACGATACAATGACTTCGTCTGCGTGCACCTACGGCGGAAGCCAAATCAACTTCCTGATGCCCCGGACACCTGGTGTGGCATGGACCGAACCAGCGGGACACCCAACGGCCCCCAAGTATGATCCCACCCCCATCCCGACATGCAGGGCGGCGAACACACAGATCTGGTTGGTGGCAAACGGGAGAGGACAGGACATCGGCCGCTGACATTTTTTGATTCGTAGCAGGAACGGAGGCAACAATGACAGGCCGCAGATTCTCACGTTTGCTTTACAGAAAAGACCACGGGCGACTCGGGCGAGTGCCAACAAGGTTCGGACGGGATGCATTACTTGTAAGCCGGTTCCATCACGGTCCGCATTCTGAGACTTCTGTGTTATGTTTTAATTGTAGCTAATCAGAACATCATCATAGGCAAGTGAGTATTCCTCCTCGGAGTGATAGAGTGAGAGAAAAATGAAGGAATGGCTTCTCACGCCTTGTGGTCCCAGGCGCCGACACGTAAAGTGCGATGAAGTGAAGCCATCATGCAAGCGATGCGTGAAGTGGCAAGGGTTCTGTGAGGGATACGACTCTCCCAATAGCTCTTCGGGCTCACCCCCTAGCTCAGACGACGCAGACAACACCAATAAGGCAACAACATCATCATCATCATCCGTCGTCCGCGTATCCAAGAAGAAGTCGCTCGTCGCAAACGCCCGCCCTAGGTCACAATCTCAACTAATCGACATTAGCCTGCCGTTCGAACCCACCGAGAACCTCTTTGTAAATGACTTTGAACGCCAGTACTTTGACTACTGGCTCTCTCGCCGCTACCGCCTCGGCGGCGGCTTCTTCGACGAGCAGCTATGGGCCGAGACCATCCCGCAAATGAGCCACCAGCACGCCTCAGTCCGGTACGCCGCCATGGCCGTCGGCGGCATCGGTAAAGCCCTCCACCACAGCCTGAAGCCGACCACACCCGCCCAGCTCGGTGCAAACGGGCCGCACTACGGCCTCGCCCTCTCGTATTACGGCCGCGCCATCCGCGAGGTCCACAAAGCCGCCTCCGCGCCTCGCGAAGAGACCAACAGCAGCAGCAGTCTCCGGGCCGCCATCGTCTGCTGCCTGCTCTTTGTCTGCTTCGAGGTGCTCCACGGCGATCGCAAGGCTGCCTTTGCGCTCATCAACAGTGGGCAGACGATGATGGACGAGCTGCTGCGCCGGTGCGAGGAAGACAAGAGCCGGGATAAGAGCATCATTGGCGCCGAGGTCGTCGAGACGGAGGCGCTGCATGTGTTTCAGCGGCTTATCCAGCAGTCTTGGTCTTGCGGTGTGCTCCGACGGCGGGAGAGGCGCCCCTTGGAGAGGGAGGGCAATCTTCTCGCGGAAGAGAAGAGGGACTCGTACTCGTCTGAGTCGTGGTGCTGCCAGGGAGGGCCGGGGAGGAAGTGCGCGATTCACAAGATGCCCTCCATCTTTAGTAGCCTCCAGGAAGCTCGTCGGTGGTGGGATGTGACGCAGCACTACGTGACGCACTCCTCCGACATTGTCTGCCGCGTGACCCAGCTAGGTTTGAGCGAAGACTTTCTCTCCGAGTGCAACGAGCGCATCCGCAGGCAACTAGAAGAAAGCGAGCGCTTAAGAACCGGTGCCGTCAACAAAGCGTCCGCGTCCGCGTCCACGTCCACGTCCTCATCATCGTTCGCGGCTGCAGGGGCCGAGGACACCGCCTCGCGCTGGCAAGACTTCAGAGACGCCCTAGCGCGATGGGAAACCGGCTTCGCGCCCCTCTGGACCGCCGCCCGCAAGACCAAGACGTCAGACGAGAGGTCCTACAGCCAAGCAGCGCACCTCCGTGCGCAATACCTCACCCTCTCCAATTGCCTCGAGTCCCCTCTCGGCTGCAGCTACGAGCGCGTGGCCCGCCTGACCCCGCGCTTCCGTGAGGTGATCCAGCTCTCCGCCGGTCTGCTCGACTACCAGAAGCGCTCTTCCCTGCCCGGCGAGATCTTCACCATGGACATGGGTCCCACGTGGCCGCTCTTCCTCGCGGGGACGCGATGTCGGGTTCCCGAGCTGCGCAACGAGGCGATCCGGCTGCTGCGGGAGAACCCGCGACGGGACGGACTGTGGGATAGCCGGTTCTTTTATGCGCTGATGATGAGGAACAAGATGTTGGAGATTTCGAATTCGAGGGAGGGGACGCCGGAGGAGCAGTGGTGGCGGTTGCAGCATCGGTCTGCGTGTGTTGATGAGCAGGGGGCGTTAATTGCCAAGGCGATGGATAAGAATCCGTTGACGGGGACGTGGGATTTGGGGGAGGATAATGTGAGGCGATTTCTGTTTGATTGAACTTGGGTTTACATTTCTCGAGGGGGTGGAGGCTGGCTCTTTTGCTCACCCCCTTTCGTCAGGACCGAGGATGTTTGTGACTTTTCTTGCACACGGCGAGTGTGTCAGTCCTCGTGCGGCAGTCTCCGAGACCTGATGTCTTTTGGGTTGCTGGAATCTTGGGCGACCTGGTATGATTTGGATACTTGGACGAGAATGAGTTGGACTGCAATGGAAGATGCTTCCTAGGTACCCTTGATTACAGCATGGCAGGTCTACCCTGGGCTAAATGATACTGTATCGACTGGCTTGTCTGCCTTGATTAATTTCACACGCATGTGGAGCTCAATGATTTTAAGACTTCGGAAACATTTCCGTAGTTCCATTAAGAAGACTCGTGATATACAACCTCCATCTCCATGCGCGAATGACGGCACTGTGGAGGTACACCCGACTCCAATGTCTGTGTTGATCATGAGAACCAGTCCTTGACCTTCCCGCCAAACGTCGTCGGCTTGGCCTTCTCGGGTGCCCACTCTGACTCGTGAAGACGGCCAGACCAGAGATCAATCTCGTGAGCGCGAACGAACTAAGACAGTCAGTAAGATGTTCTCGTCCCTTGGGACTAAGGAGTAAACGTACCTTGGTCTTGTGAACAATCTTCCAGACGATGATGGGCACGATGAAGATGGGGATGCCGATATACGACGAGACAAAGTCCGAGGTGGACCAGTTTCCCGCAAGGAAGACGGAGAACCCAGCAACGAAGACGATGATTGTCGATCCAATGAAGCCGAACCAAGCCGCGAACGGCTGGAAAGGTGCCTTCCAGGGTAAAGTATCACGGCTGACACCTTGCACCTTCATCGCCTTGTGGAAGCGGATGTAGCAGAAACACAACGTCGCCCACGCAATCAACCCAGCAACGGTACTCAAACTCAGCAACCAGTTAAACGCATCAGCGGCACCGCCAGACCCGAGACTCAGATACGCCAACGGGCCAAACAGCCACGAGGTAATAACAGCAACGTACGGCACACCGTGCTTGGTCGTGCGGCCAAAAAACTGCGGCAGCTGGCGGTCCGTCGTCATGGCGACGATCATGCGGGAGCCTACCCAGCAGTACGAGTTACCGGCGCTCCAGGCGCTGACGAGGATACAGGCGTTGACGATGGAGGGGAGGATATTGATGCCGGCCTGGCGGATGGCGATGACCCAAGGGGAGGAGTTTGCGTTGCCGGAATCGGAGACGAGGCCCTCTTCGCGGGGATCGACGATGAGGGAGATGAGGAGTGCACCGAGGACGTAGAAGAAGCCGATGCGCCATGTTACGCGGCGAGCGGCGTTGGGGATGGCTTTGTGGGGGTTGATTGATTCTGCGGCGCTGATGACGACTGTCTCGACCTGTTTTTTGTGTCAGTTTCTAGATGTGAAGGGGAGAGCAGAAGCCGGGAGAACGTACACCAATGAAGGAGAAGGACGCGTTCACAAAGGCAGCGAGGAAGCCCAGGAAGTGACCAGTCGAACCAGTGATACCGTTGTAATCAACCCACGCGCCCGGGTTATTCCAGTACCGGAAGCCGATGGCCTCGTGGTTGGGACCACCTCCGGCGGTGATGATGATGGAGGTGAAGACGAGGCCAATGAAGCAAAGAACCTTGATGGAGCCGCCCACGACCTCGGTCTCGCCGTACCAGCGCACGCTAAGCAGGTTGCAAAAGAGGATGAGGGCGAGGGATATCGTGATGACAACGGCGGGTGTTATATCTGTCCAGTACGACACCAGGATCGCGGCCGCCGAGGCCTCGGCGCCGATGGAGATCGTGTAGCAGTAACCGTATGAGATTGCGAGGGAGAAGCCGACGGCTGGGTCGATGAAGCGGGTTGCCCAGTGGGGGAATGAACCGGCGGTGGGAATCTGCATTCGAAGAGTCAGTTTGCCGATGCGCGTCATAACTGTGAAAGAGAGTCTATTCTTGTCACATACCAGCGTCGCAAGCTCTCCGATACTCTGCATCACACACCACAGAACGGCACCGACGATGATATAGGCGAGAAGAAGACCAGCCGGACCGGCCTTGGCGTAGGCCGAGCCCGTTCCGATGAAGAGACCGGTTCCGATACCACTGCAGAAACCAATCATGGTGACTTGGTAGTCACGCAGGCGGCGCTGGGTGCGGCCGTGGCCGCCAACGTTGAGCTGGGGCTCCAGGATGGCGGCCTTGTCGTCGTGGTGGTGATCGTCAACGCCGGACTTTTCAATGTCTCGGACCGCATCGTCGTCGGCGGCGAGCCCGATGGACCGGGGCCGGGAGGAATCGTACGCCGTCATGGCTGAATATCCTGTTTCTCAAGGACAGTGACTGAAGCCGGCGAGTGTTCCCTTTGGGCTAGTTGCCTATGTTTGTTCGAAACTTGGAGGATTGAACAATCAAAAGGGTGTTCAAAGGGGAACGGCTTTAGGACCTGGAGGGGCCCATATCGAGATTATATGAAATACCTACCGGCAGTCAATCCCATCTGCAAGATTTTTTCGCATCCCTAGGGCGAGACCGGAGGACTGGGCACTAGACAATGGCATCATCGGGCTAGTTCGCGGGGCGTTCCTGGGTAGTGTGGGGTCATGAGGGGCGAGGATGAGAGCTTGCAGCAGATCGTGAAGCTGGTCGCCTTCACCGAGCTTGGCCGCGCTTCACCTCTTCACCTCGGTCTGCTTTCGGTCTGGATATAGCCTTCCGCCACGGTGACTTGAGTATATCCTGCAGTGAGGGTCTTGATGGCATCTCAGACGTGTCGCATTTGATACAACGCAGCAAGACACACAGCTGCAAAGCTTTACAAGCCACCCCATCTCCGGTTTCGCTGAAAAAGCTTTGAGAAATGGAGCGATGGCAATTCCAGGTACGTAAAAAATCTTCTCAAGTTGGCCGAGGCGGGCGGGTCCGGGGTCGCGGAGGACGGGGTGCTGTGGGTCCCATCCCATTTGCGCCGGCGGTACGGAGGTACAAAGCGCGGTAGCGCGGTATGCGGCGGGTCCGATTCCCACCTATTCCAAGACCAATCAGACTTGTGAGTGGCTAGAAGCGCCGGTTGCAATCTGCGAACAGGGAGGCGAACGCATGAGTCGTTCATCTGAAAATCTTCTAAAAATCTTCTGGAAGAATGGCAGGAAAAAGAAACTTGCGCCGAGCCAGTGATGTCCGTGACAAAGAGCACTTGGAAGGGTCCATCCCCACGTGCTCCCTCCCGAAGGACCTGGCCAAGACGGGATCTTTACTTCCAAGACCGGTAGAGGAACGAGGGGTTCTTGTTAATGATGGGAACTGATAGCAAAGTTGATAGGAAGCCCTGGCGTCCCTCTGCGTCACACAGATCGATGTCAGTGGGGGGTCCATATGGATCAACATCTTGAAGATCTACCAAACGTTTGGAAATTTGCCAAACACCGCGTCGTGGCAGTTGATTGTGGTATGACATTCTGAAAACATAACCGCTGTGAGTCAAATCCCCCAAAATTCTGCCCGCTGCTCAATGACCGCCTCAAATTGCGCGATCCGGAAACCCCGAGCCACATTCTACTGAGTTCTACTGCGAACGCAACCACGAACCGCCACTGATTCTTTTTTTCTTGGTCACTGGCGCTTCAGAGTAAAGTCACCTCGCACTTGTGCCCAACAGGGCTGATCATGAAGAAGTTCTCCATCTCCATCATCTCATCCGTCATCCCGGGCGCCATCCTCAGACCCCTGCACTCTCTAAAGAGCACGGCCACGGCTAATCTGAGTTCCATTCTCGCGAGCTCTACGCCCAGGCAGATCCGCGAGCCGGCGCCCCATGGCGAGAAGAGGACTCTCTGGTTCGGTGTGAGCTTGCTTTGGTCCATGAATCGCGTCTCGTCGAAGCTTTTGTCACGTCAGTCGGGGGGATTCTTTGCGACGCCATTTGACCAGCGCACCACCGCATCCGTGATGACAATGTAACTGGTGAGAGATCCTTACCGTAGGGGATCCGGCCACACCGCCGGATTCCGGTGAAGTGTGTACGCCTGCGTCTCCACCGTTGTTCCGCCGGGGACAAAGTACCCTCCGAGCGTGGCGCCGCTCGCCGGCACCGACCGCGACAGCTGTCCCGGGACAGCGCCGTACAGCCTCAACGTCTCGTCAATCACGGCGTTGAGCAGCGAGAGCTTTTCCAGTACATCATCGTCGAAACTGGGGTTCAATGCCGTGACCTCGTCTTCCAATTTGATTCTCAAATCAGGTCGCCTTACTACCGCCCAGACTAGGTACGCCAGCGTGATGGACGTTGTGTCCGAGCCGCCGATGATCATGCTCCGGCTTTCTCTCTGCACCATTTCTTCTGTAAGCTTCGCATTAGCGCCCTTCTCTTCTTCTTCTTTGTCGTTGATATCGTCCGCGTCGAGGGCATTCAGCAAGGTCGCGAACAGGGTCCTGTTGCGATCGCTATTCTGGCGGAGGTTCTCAAGCGCGCGATTGCCGTAGCTATCGAGGACGGCCTGCGCGTCGACGAGGTCGGTCGAGGATTTGAGGAGCGGCATACGAGAGCGGATGAAGTGCAGCCAGGGAAGCTCGTAGCGTGTGATGTTTTGCACCGAGATGAGCTCCAGCATCTGCATATAGTCGTTTTTCTTTCGCCTTGTCATTAGTATACTGGCCTAGGGAAGCGTAGAAGAGAATTGAGTAAAATCATACCTCGCCCAATTCGAGCATATTGAAAGACTCCCCGAAGCACAAGTGAGCGACGACATCAGTCGCCATCATGGTAAACCACTTTAACACATCCGAGCACCCACCCCTCTCAGCCTCTGCATGTATCTTACCTACAGCCACTTCAACCTTACCTCTAACGACGCCCTCCCACTCTCTCCTGAGCAAAACCTTTGTAAAGACCCTACCAAGAAGTCTCCTGCGAATAGCATGCTTTCTCGGATCCCGCATCGCAAAGATACTCGGCTCACCCTCGTCAGGCGCGTTAGACTCCTCGTACCACGGCGCCTTGAGAAAACCGCCCCCGATGCGGTGAATTGCGGTGAAGCCTGCTGGGTCTGCGACAGCTACTTCGTGGGGAGAGATGCGAACAATGGGGCCGTGACTGACGTGCAGCGCGTGGACGTAGTACATTCTCCGGCCGGTCAAGACGTGGTACTTGAGAGGAAGGTGGGTGAGGAGGGTATGCCATGGGCCTGGAATGTGTCGGAGGGGGTTACAAAGCGCTGTGTGGATTTTCTGGGAGATTTAGTTGTTGGTCACTGGATGAAGGCAACACGACTTTCCCTGCGACATGGCCGCAGGATAGCAGTTTCTCTGAGCGAAGAGGCATTTTCCCGCTGTTGTTTAACGATACTTACATGGGTAATTATGAGTAGGACTAGAAACATGGCAGCATAACCCATTCCAACATGGTTCGTGAGGTCTGTGGATAGCATCTTGATGGTCTGCGTAGCTGCCCAGAACTTGAGCAACTTAGACACATGGAGTTGAGGTGATGGCGACTAAGGTAGAGGGCAAAGATTGGGCTCGCACTTCAGTGTCATCCCATTACATGACAGGAGATAAGAGCGCGATTAGAGGGCTTTTCAACGCGGCCCTTCCCAAGTTTTGACTTCTTTCGCTATCGTTCTCGCTCAACGTTCTGCCGGAATTTGCCTAAAGAGGAGAAAAGGGAAAAAATAATGCGGTGTTGAAGTCGCTTTCCCCTCACAGTCCGATCTTAGGAAAAGCATAAAGCACGTAAGAAAGCGGGATATCATTCAAGGTTTGAACTCTGCCGTCATCATCCAATCTGCTGCTAGGAGCTCAATATTTGAATTGAAGGTATTACTCTGGGGTACTCAATGATACGCAAATATCACTAATCAAGTCATCTTCAACTTAATTGCCTCCGAACATTGAAGATTGGTCTGGATACTGAAGTTAGGAAGGTGGGCAGTAGTTGACTTGTTGGTATTTGCAATATAACTCTCATCACGCAAACGAAAATACTGGCTAATCATACAGTCTTCGTCACCAAATCCGACTGATACCGGGTGCGAAGTCATGCCCAATAAAGCTAGGTGATAGGAGCGCAGTACTGTTGTCCAGATATACGTGCAGCCAAATATGTATAGTGGACAAGAAGAAATCTAGTGCTGATCATAATGTCTATGTAACAAAAGATGTGATGCAAGTCTGGTGTCTCAAGGGAGTGCCATTAAGTTTGTCCAGGTCTGCCATTAAGTAGCGACTTCACGGTTACATCTGCCACGATGCCGTGTATGCCCAAGGTCAAGACTACACTATGCTTTTTGAATCCCTCAAAGACGATTGGCTACATTTCCTTCTTCAATATCCCGAGCTGCCATCTCTGGTTCATCGCCGTCGCTAAGTGGTGTATACTCGGAAACGGTAGACGAGAAAAAGCCCGTCTTGGCGACACTACGGCAGTGAGGGCAGTCGCAGCTGCGACTGAGGAGGAAATGAAGAGCCTGAGGTAGAACAATGAACAGATGGACACCCCTAAAGAATAATATTAGCTGTGAAACGTCCAGTCAAGCCCAGGGCAAGAGGAATGCTTACAAGTCAAACATCATGAACACAGTGCAATACGTCCCCAGCACAATCAGTGGCTCGTGCCACGGATCAGTCAGGAGGATCCAACTCGGGATCAGGAATGCCAGGTGGAAGATCGCGAGGAGGCAGTCGGCCCAGAAGATGTTGGACTCGGAGAGGGCTTGGATCGGTGAGCCGAGGGCGGCGACGGCATCGCGGTTTAGGACGAAGAGGGCGAGGACGGCCGAGGCGGCGAGCGGGAGGAGACCTAGGGCCGGGAAGGCGCGCTCGGATGCTATCCCGTGGGCGATGAGGAGGATTAAGGCTGGTGGGAAGGCGATTACTTCGAGACGCCGGAGGGTGACGGTTCTGGCTGCTGAGGACATCTTGGCTTTGATGATGAATTTTTCTTTTGGTAACTTTGATTACCTTTGGTTGCTTTGAACGTTTCACGGGATGAAGATACTAGACCAACATGTGAGGACTCGGTTCTCGGGGATTGAAGAAGACTTATTATATCAATATTAGATCCTTAAGGTGGTGCCTAAAACCTGTCCTCATTTGGAGTAACAGAGTGTAAGTACAGGTGTTACATGCACGTATCAAGCCAAGTGCAAAGCCACACACAACCAACGGTCTGGAATGGGAATGATTGTGTAGTACAAGTAAATCTCATAGGTCCAGGGCCCAGAAAAGCGTCAAGCCACAGGGCTGAAAAACGTCCCAGGATCCTAAAAAAGGGAAGATGGTATGCCTGAAGTGCCGATCTGCATGGGTCCGAATCCTTCCTAGGCACACATCCGTACTTCGGGGTGCCATTCTACCAAAACTAGCCAATTGGGAAAATTTGTCACTGGTGATTAGCTGACATTTTGCTGGAATACAGATTGTGGCTGCGTCAAGGCGTCAGGCAGACTCGAGTGCTGTGCCCGCCGTTAGAAAGGGACTTTGGTGATGACTTTGGCCTGCGCTAGTATGAGGTGTTTACTAGCCACGGGCGCATGTGTTGGACTCCATTCGCATATGTGGAGAGGGTTTTGCACTTGGCTGGCTCCATTTGAGGTAGCCTTTTGGCATCACGGACACCGTGTTGTTTTCCCCTTGCAGCTTCGAGAACGCACTTTCATTATGCAACAGCTCTCTACAAGCTACGCTCAGTTCAAGACACGTGTCGAGTACTTTGATCTAGACTAAGACGCAAGCAAATGCGCGCGAGATGCGTGAATTCGATTACCTAATCTATATGGACAGTATTAGTACTTAGGAAGCCTGAATTGTTGTGTGTATGTAAACTTGCAATGCTGAAAAGAGAATTATAAGGGTAATTACATTATTCAACATGTCACTGGAGATCGACCTTCTGGCAAGTCAATGAAATCAACTTACTTCCATTGAATGATACGAAAACTTTGCAACTGGGTAAAGTATCTCAAGTTAAAATCCAAACCTACCTATCTCACCTTACTTACTTACTTGACCAGAAAATGCAACACTAGAGAAATCAAACCAACCGAAAACCGCTCTCCAAAATCAGTGAATTGCCGGGCCCAGTGCGGAAACTCTACCATTTAAGCAAAGGTAAAGTGCTTATCCAGTTCCTTCCTCAACTCCTTGGACTCCGCGTCGACAGCATCCAAGTTCCTGCCCAACCAGGCACAATCCCAGAATGTAAAGAGTGCCCAAACCTTGATGAGAGAGTGAGCGTAAGCAAAGAGAATCTGGCATGGTATCAAGGGGATATCGGACGGGTGGTGAAGGATGTGCGGCCAGAGCTTGATGGTCTTGGTCCACAGGACCCAAAGCGCAAGCAGGCCCATTTCGCTCGTGAATACTCCCCTAGTATGCCATGAAAGATACAAAGACACAAAAAGAGTTGCGTCCCAGAAGAAAGCAAAGTTGAGGAGAGTCGCTGCGTATACCGCCAAGTAGGTGTATGGCATGCGCCAGGTGTAAACGTCGCTGACGCGCCTCAACATGCAAGGGTTGCTCCGGAATGTCGTTCTCGCCCAGCGGACCAGCTGGCCCCGGAACTTGACGGCGTTCTCGTCGCCCAGCGACGTCTCGACTACGCTGTCTTCGGTCTGCTGGAACTTGACTTTCCAACCATGTCGGTACGCTTCGCGGGTGAGAAAATTGTCGTCGTCGGGGCCAAGGCCCTTGCCGCCAAAAAGACCAAAGAAGAAACGCTCCCTGCAGAACCTGTCCATGAACCCCGTCGACTTGAGGAGCTTAGTTCGGTAGACGGCGGTGCGGCCAGAGACGACAAAGACGCCTCCGTCAATGGCATTGGAGGCGCGCAGCTCCCAGTTATGGCGAAGGAGGTAGAAGCACCCGATCAGGTTCACAATAGAGATTACAGACCACTTACCAGGTGTCGTGCGAAGTACACGCTTGTATGTCGCCACCACTCCCATGTTGTTGTCCTCGAAGGGGGCCAGGACCGAAGTTATGAATTCGGTGCTGGGCCAGTAGACGTGGTCGTCTGCAAGAATCGTGATTTCGGTGTCGACGTGCGGTACGGCGTGGGCCACCTGACGGCGCTTCGAGGGGCGGAGGATGGCGCTCACGCCGATTCTCGTCGAGGGGTACTGTTTCTTGTAGCGTCTGGCGACTTTCTCGCAGCGGCGGCGCATCCTGGCGCCGACGGTGACGATGAGAATGGCAGCTGGCCTGTTCTCGAGTACGGAGAGGATACATTTTACAAACTTTTCGTTACCTGGGTCAATCGTGGGAAGAATCACGGTGACGTCTCTGTTGGTCCATTTGGGCCAGGCTTGGACAGGGGACGGCTCGTATCGCCAGCTTCCCCAAATGTTGCAGAATAGGCGGGTGTAGCGAAGGACGAAGGTGTATTGAAAGATTGTGGCCCAGTCCCCTGCAGTGTAGTCATAAAACGGCGTTGCTAGTTTGCTGTAAATATCTAACTGCCAAGATAGAAATGTGGCGAAGATGAAGAAAATAAATTGCTTTGGATTATTTCGAGGGAAGTCTAGTATCGTAGTCAGAAGTGAACTGGGGTTGAGTTGTGCTGCGGGACGGACTTGACTGCCAGAAGCATGCTGCGTCGAGTGAACTGATGATACAGAACCTTCTGTGTCAGAACTATCCGTGTAGTCGTCTGTGTAAGACATTTTGTTTCGTGCTACTGGTATCGTATAATTGGGATGAGGATGCTGAGGAATGTGTTGACTATTCACAATTCCGAATGTCTCAGATCAACGACGTTGAGCCTAGTTATATGACACGTGTAGCATGATGTGACAGAGATTGAATAAGTCTGTCGTGTTGTTAGACATTCGAAACAATGCCATTAACCTTCGTATCCAGTCTTTGTTAGCGATCAATTCTCCCCCGTTCTCTACGGAAGGAATGTTAAAACAATGCTTACATTGGATGAAAGGGAAACAAAACAAGAGTCTTTGTCAAGGGGCAAATGAATTGGCAAAAAAGACAGGGCAGGAAACCCAAGGGCTATTCTCTGTTCTCAAAGCCGATAGCCTATGACTTGTCTTCGGAACTAGGCTATTTTCTCGTTAAAAGATTGGAGGCGTCAAAGTCCCGAACGTTGCGACTATTATTGGACTACATCGATTCGAGTAGGCAAAAGGACATCACCTTCATACCTTTCGGGGAAGCAAGTTTATATCTAAGCTGTGGAAGCCCAAGGTGAGGTCGTATGAGTTGTTATCGACCATATGGAAGTTTTTCTCAACGATACATTTCATTGAATAATCGATTATGATTAGCTATCTCGGGTGTGAATAAGGGAAGTGAAACATAGTGCACTCCAAGAGCCTACTATGACTCTCGCCCATCTCAGTGCATCATAGGACGAGCATCCTCTACCATCTCACTTCCGCCAAAATACTTTTCCAGCTCATTCTCAAGCTCTCTACCCTCGACGTGACGCATCTCCTTGGCCCGTTTGACAGGGTTGACTTTGTCAGCGTGAGCGCTGGCGAAGATGACATCAAGCTCTTCCAAGCTTCGTCCTTTGGGCTCAGGAAAGAAGAGATACACGCAGGGGATGATGGCGGCGTTGAAGACTGCGAACATAACGTATGTCTGATATCCCAAGTTGGCAAAGGCGGGGGGCGTGATCATAACAATGAGGAAATTTGAGAGCCAATTGGAGCAGGTTGAGAGGGCGTTGGCTTGGATGCGGATTCGGAGGTTCGTGATTTCGGCAGGGTAGAGCCAGGTCATTCCAAGCCAGCCTATTTGGAAATTAGTATTGAATTAAAAGAGGCCTTGGTAGTGGAAAGAGTGGCTTACCTATGGCGAAGAATGAATTGAAGACAAATAGGAAGACTGTTGCGGTGACTCCATAGCGTGTCTCGAGATTGGGGGCTCCATTGTCGGCAACTGTACCAGTTGAGACAGTGCCAGCTAGGATCGCCATTGATGCCATCATTCCAGATGCGCCGAAAAGCATCAGCTTGCGTCGGCCGGTTCTCTCGATCAGCGGCAGAGCAACTAGTGAAGCCAGAAAGTACTCGGTACCGTTGAGAGCGGCGAGAAGGCGAGAGAGCTCGGGACCGAAACCAAGAGAGTTTTCGAACAAAAAGCCCGCGTAGTAAGTAATCAAATTGATACCTGTGAAGATGCGTTAGTCAAAATGCTTCACGATGGCCGTTCGTCCCGACTTACCGCAGATCTGCTGGAAGAATTGTGCGGCAATGCCGAGCAAAGTTCTCCTCAAGTTTTGCGAAGGACCATTGGTCAGGAGCTCTTTATACTTGAAACCTCCACCTTGGCTTTGGACCTCGAGAGCTTCCTGGATGGCCTTGACTTCGAGGGTGACTTCCTCGTCGTCGATGGGCTTGCCAAGAAGACGAGACGTCACTTCACGAGCTTCCTCCATGCGGCCTTTCATTGCCAGCCAACGAGGCGAGTCTGGAAGGTAGAGCAGGCCAATCATGACGATGATGGTGAAGAATGACTGGAAAGCTACGGGGAACCGCCAGCGGATGGTGCCTTCGAGGAAGTAGAATCCGTAATCCTAACACAACGTTAGGCCGCAGAAATGAAGCAGCTGTGAGGTCAAAGAACTTACCACCCAGTATGCAATCATGATGCCACCAGAAATCAGAGCACCAGAGAGCGTAATGAGGAAACCGCGTTGATGAGGTCGGGCGCATTCGGATTGCCACGTTGGAATAGCTGCACTTTGGTTAGATTCTTGACCTTGACAAAAGAAAAGGACTGAGTGGTCTTACTTGATGTGACCATGCCATTACCAACACCGCCAATAATTCTGCCGGCGGAGAACAACCCGTATTCGTGGGCTCCAGCCTGCAGAATCGTTCCAAAGATCATGATGGCGCTACCCCAGAACGTGGACGACTTGCGCCCCCATGTTTCCCCGTAGAAGAGGATCAAGAAAGCTCCCAGAAAGCAACCAATCTGATAGACGGCAACGGCCGCGGCCTGCGTGTTCGGATCACCGGTGCACTGACTATAGTCTCGCTGAGTATTCTCGGGGTAGTCAAGCCAACACAGAGCGTTTGACTGATCCAAGGGCGTCATCAAGGTAATGCTCCTCTGAAAGTCGTCGAGAGTCAGAAGCGAACTCAGAACACCTCTGGGGGACTGATGTTAGACCGGGCTTGCTAGAAAGTTGGAGCGACTGATACGTACTGATCATAACCAAACATCAGGAATCCGCAAGACGCGATGAATCCGATACTCCAGTTGAGCAGCTTGCCTTCGAGACGTTTCCCACGGAAGCCCCACTCTGGCAGATCGCCCATCTTGGCAAAGAATCCCATCAAGCCTCCAGGCGACTTTGGTTTTTGGTCGACGGCGCGGCTGCTGTCGACCGAAGACGGCGTTCGGCTGCCGCCGTCGCTGGGTTGTTCGCGCTTCTCCTGCTTCTCGGTCATATTGGGCTCATCAGCCGTGCTGTGTTCGGCCATGTTTATCCAGATACCGACCCAAGTCGAGAAGTATGAGATTGCATGTAGTGGCGGACGATCACTCGAAGCTTGGGAGGTCTTGGGGAAAGCGTGGCTGCAGGATGTGCGTCCGGCTTTGTACTCGCTCACTTCTCACCCTTCACTTATGTCTTGATCAATATCGTGGGCCTCCAATGAGAGGGTAATTGTTGAAGGATGACTTGGCTGAGGTCATATGGTAGTTTGGGGAGCTGACAGACGACCTGGCGATGTCGATATGGAGACTTTGCGTTTTGGACGGGCCAGCGCTACCCACACTTTTTCTCCGGAAGGATGTCTTGGGTGTTGGTTGGTTTCTCCAATCAACAGCAGAGAACGGCCCGAATCCATTTTGTAGGTTGACTGGTCAAATAGCTTTCACCATGTTACTTTAGTTTCAATGATCGCGAACCCTGATGTTCCAATTCAATTTCTTTTATTCTCGTCATCTATCAGAGAGGCAGCTAGCTGTGCTTTGAAATAGGTCTGTATGGGTAGCTTTTCGCCAACATTTAGCTCCAGTCAACCTCTAGAATACAGCACGTAAAATGGCTCGAATGCTAGAAAACATGTCTTCAAGATACCAGTCGTTAGCCAGGCTGACTTCCGGCAGTGGATCGCGAGAACAATCGCCGAGCCCGAAGAGCCAACATGCTCCCGCACGGGTTGCCCAACAGAGTAAGCCGAGGCTGGGCGGTCCAAGACTTTTGTGTTTTTCTCTTTGGCCTGAATAAAAAATCCGGTAAGCTGAAAGGTTTATGGGAAGATTAAGACCCTTTTTTAGTCTTGGTGTTGTCTTGGTCGTCGCTTGGTGTTTCTCGGCGGGCAAGGGTTCGCTTGCGGAAATGACGTTGGCCAAGTTTTAAGCTTAAATCGCTATTAGTTGGCTGCTGTCGGACTTTTTGATGCCTACGGGGTTCTTGAGTCCCTCCACTTCCATGTCAGCAGCTGCGGAACCTGCATCTTGGCGGGCCTTGAGCCAACATGTATGGGCGGCTTTGTTTCCGAGGGTGAACATGAACGGCGCGATCTGCGAGAAATAAGGAAGGCGTTGTTCGTTCGGCATAGGCGTTGTATGTGGGCGACTCAGTGTTGCGTAGCCGAACTCATATCGACTCTCTAGCGATTCTATCTCTCGTGTCTCGTATGAGCGAGAACTTTTCCTCAATCTGACTGAAGAAAGTAAACCACTATCAACTCTCTGCTCACGATGGACTCGGCTTCCGAATCCTCAGTTTGTGGCGGCAGGCCTAGACTGCCATTCGTGAAGTAGTGAAAAGTAACTTGAGTAAGTACCGCTTCTACGACATAATATAGTCTGGGCAGGGCGAGTCACGCAGCCGATGTTGCTTGGAATGACTCAACTTTCAGTGCAAGAAAAGTGGCAAGAGATTTGTCATCAGTCATAATTCTTTCGTTTCATTTGAACGTTACTTATGTTATGACCCATCAAAGCTTCAGAATAGCCTTGCCGAAGTTCTTTCCGGTAAGCATGCCGATCAAACCATCAGCAGCGTTGTCAATGCCCTCAGTCACCGCCAACTTGGACTTGACGCTTCCCTCAGACAACCACTTCTGCAAGTTCTCCTGGTGATCCTTGAAGTAAGCGGGGCCGAACTTGGGGTTGCCAACGAGGAAACCCTGGAGGGTGATCTGCTTGGTAACGACCTGCATCAAGCCGTTGATGCCCTTTTGCTGACCGGCGGGGGTGTTGTAGTTTGAGATCTGTTCTGTGCATCAGCGTCCCATTCAAGTTCATGTAGGTACCGAGCTCTCAATTTAATTACTTACCATGCCACAGACAGCGACGCGACCCTCGGTGTTCATACTGGTGAGAGCAGCCTCGAGGTGGTCTCCACCGACGTTCTCAAAGTAAATGTCGATTCCGTTGGGGGCCAACTTGGGGAGAGCCTCAGCAGGCTTCTCCTTCTTATAGTTAAATCCGGCATCGAAACCAAGCTCCTTGGTGATGAAGTCAAGCTTCTCATCTGAACCAACGGAGCCGATCACGGTCAGACCCTCACGCTTCGCAATCTGACCAACGAGCTGGCCAACAGCACCTGCAGCCGAACTAACAAAGATGGTCTCGCCCTTCTTCGGCTGTCCAATCTTGTGCAGGCCGGACCAGGCGGTCAAGCCCGGCATTCCCAGAGGTCCGAGGAAGAGCCCGAGGTCCAGGTTATGGGGGTTCTGCA